GCGTCGCAGAAAGAGAGGGGGATACTTCCTCTCCTACGCCGTGCCGGCTGTCTACTCTCTATCCACCTTACGAATTTTCGATCAGGTCACGTGTACTGACGCGAGTTTAAAATTTTACCCATACAAAAAAAGTGTATAATGTAGAAGTTTTCACTTCAATCATATTTTAGTGTTTTGTGTCAAGAAATGAATTTATTAATTAGAGTTGGTTTATAGTGTAACAAAAGGGATTTTACTTGATTAAAGTAAGTATCGGAACTTATTTTAAAATTCACCTAATAATGTTTTATGTTGGCGCTAAAACACAGTGCATCGAAGAATTAAAACCCTGACTTCACATGTAAATAATATGAATATTAAAATACGCGAAAAATTATTTTATTCTTTTTGGTTCTATAAAGTAATTTTTTTTTTGTAAGTTTTACAGAAATTATAATTGAGTGCAGACAAAATGATTATAACTCTCATTTTATATATTTGACAAAATCTCTGTATCTAAATTTCTAAATTTTCCGATTTCACAAAATAATGTCAAAGTTTTTCTGATAAAATGTAGTAGTCTAGATCACTCCTAGAGTTGCTCTCAATCAATTAGTGGTCTTTCATTATTATCGGTTGAGCCATTCTGAAACACACAGACAGAGTGACAAAAAAATTAAAAATTCATGTCTGTTAAAACATGAGTATCAATTTTAATGCATTAATCATTTTTAAAATAATTGACAAACTGACATATGCCGTTAGACATGCAAATAACATCCCTAGATCAATAAAAAAACAGTTAATTCGATATTCCAGACACTTTAATTTTATTTATACGAGTATGTATAAATTTGGTAACGATAGCTTGACTTTGAAACCCTGATACAGCCAACGTTGTTGTTTTCAGCTCGTAAACGAAGTCTGAAAATCAACAATTTGTATGAATTGAATATTAGCAACACATGCTTGCCTAGTACACACTACAGGTAACTCAAGCCGAATACAATCACCTATCCTGGCGTAAGACACAAAAATATACCCTTTCTCTACACGTGGTAGAGCCATGCTGCAGTTATATTAGTAGTATAGTTGTAGCACGAATGGGTCGGCTCGACCGGGGAAGGACCACGCTCTCACAAAATACCAGCGTCATATAATAGCTTAATGCTGCTGTGTTTCGTATGGTGAGTGTAGGGAACCGGAGACCCTTTTTACTGGAAACGAGGCATTCCATCTTAGTCCTCACGAGTGACAACCCATCTGCATTTTGATTCGTAATCGCGGATAGATGTAGATGTCTATGGGCCGCAGCAACCACTTACCATCAGGTGGACTGTGTGCTCGTTTTTCACCCTATCCTATAAAAATAATACATTATTCTACTGAGCATATACTTCCCCAAGTAATGCGAGTAAACACAGTCCTTACTGTCAGCATCCCATCGGCTTCCTGCATATCTTACCAGGACGTCACTCTAATGCTGCTGTAATGATGATGACGATGAAATAATGATTTTAAAATAACTAAATAGCTGGTACTTTAGGGAGGGAGGGAAAAGATAAATCAGACAATTGAAAGTATTTTTCACTAATTGCTTGTTATGTGTGGTATTACCGTGTGAGATTGTACTTTGTTTTGATTTTTCGATAATCTCGCTGCTACATAATCCTGTTGTATATCATTGTAATTGTTATCCGTGATTGTAAGGTTAGTTGCCAGCTTAAGGCGAGGATTCCCAACGCTTATAGTCTTTTAGCACTCCCTTCTCCGGTGCAGGCATATTTGTCAAGCACGAAGTAAGCTCGTATATTAATTAAATTTTTTGTCCACCGAAAGTTACACGCATTTGAAATATTTCTGCTTAATATTAATAAATAAAGGAACTAAATAAAAATGTAACTGATAAAGAATCCAATTCAATAACATGCCTTTCAAAATATTATAAGGTTATTTCTTTTTAAAAAATACCAAGAACCCGAACGTCCAATATTTTCCCGGCGATTAAATTATTTTTTTAACTTGTTACAGTAAATTAATAAAAATTCCATTCGATTAAGAATTTAATTGAGTATTTCATGTATGCGCATTTTTTTCCGACCACATAATACTTTAAGAAGTATTCATTCTCGAGCATTGTAATCGAATAAATCCTGTTTATTCCCCAACACACTTTAAAGAACTTTTAGACTCATATCGGATTTAGATGTCGATATTATATCCGTTTCTCCAGCACCAAACCACGGGCGCTTGTGTGAATAATTGACGTTTTTATTCCCTTTTTTTTCATTCTCCATAATAATACCACACATCCGCCTATTAGTACAACAATCGCCTAATAATAGTTTTAGGCATAATTCAACTGCTTTTTGAAGTTAAAGTGGCGTCAGCTCTCTAAAGCATGTTGTTTTTAATGCAGTAAAAGCACTGAAGATTCTCTGCCAGATAACGTTAAGTTAATCTTGCATCCATTTTTATGGGCCTTTTAAATTCTTCCACACTTGACGAGATCAATTTGACGATGGTCAACGTCATTAGACGTGTTGCACATTTGTCGATGCTAAATATCGCTCGTCTTCTGTTATATATATTTGTTGCTAGTTCATTCAACTTCGTTGAGCATCTTCTGGTCTTCGCGCCTTCTGCACGGTCCGGTATCCTCGTTCGGGAAGGCTTAGCTCACTTGCCATTGGCGGAGGCGACTTGGGTAAGTCTTCTTCTTTTAGGTGAATGTTATTCTTTCCTTTTTCTATTTCTTCAAGGGATTTCAAACTGTGATATCTGTGGGATCCTTACTTTGGATCGCATAACAACTCACGAGGGAGCGCCTTTCTCTCAGCATTCAGCAAAAGTATAGCATGGAATTTTAACGTGGTAGTCATGCTGTAACTACATTAGTAACACGAATGGGTCTACCCAATCGTGGAAGGAACGCGCTCTCACAGAATACCATCGTACAGCTTAATGCTGCTGTGTTTGGTATGGTGAGTGTAGAGAACCGGAGACCCTTTTTACTGGATACGAGGCCCATCCACTTACTATCATGTGGACATCATAAAAAAATTTGAGAGAAGCAATGTTGATGATAAGATGTTTTTATTCCGATGCATCCGTGCATGCGAACATATTGGTCTGGAGGCGCCTCATTAATGCATCGAGATTTTCTATTTTAAGTCGCATCGGATCGTCGCTATCCTCATGTAATGCGTAGTGCCGACTATGATCTACAATGTGGGGTTCTTTTGTATCTCCAGTTTCTTCTTGTTGGTAGCGCTACATAGTACGAACCAAACCAACGCGATGTGCGTGATGCGGGGATTAATGTTTATAAATCGCGATTTTGGTCCTTGTGGAAGCTTGATTGGAAGGTCGGTTCGGGAATGACTCTTGCTAACCGAACTGAACTCAGAATCTGATTAACATCGTGTGTCGTTGTCAGTTTGCGATCGACAGTAATCCCCAAGTATTTTAAATGGAAAGCTAGCACCAATAACGATGCGGGTGCCACACAGAAATTAATATGAACCAGGGTTCCGCTGAAAATCAGCGCTGCTGCAGCACCTGCGGTGGCATATGATGAGACGAAATCCTTTTTGGTATCACCTCACTCACTCTTGCTGAGACTTATTTTTGTTTATGTTTCTCATCTTTTACCTTGTTGTTTTATTTACTTCTAAATGTATATATGTAAGTGTATCGATGCTGATCAAACATATTATGTCTATGTCTATTTGACCATTCTAGATAATACAATTTCTTCATTATTTTTAAATATTTACAGCCTGTAAAGAACTGTAAAGAACAAACTATACTTAATTCTGACAGTAAGTACACTTCAAGCTGACCGAAAATACTAAAACAATTTTAATAATAACCCCTTTCAAAGGGGTGAATCCAGACAGTACGTCTATGAGTGGCTATAAAGTGAAATAAATCAAAAAGCGCTATACATCGGAATATATTAGGAGGAGTCTGCGTTTCCCCTCGTTCACCCGCCAATGCCAATAGTAATTAACGAATTGTTCAATGACGTAGGTATAAAAGTAGCTATAAAATTCTATCCTATGTAGTACGTACGAAGCATATTTAAATATTGAGTGGTTAAACACCACCGTTCTGATTTGCAAAGTCACACACCCAAATTTTACATTAAGGATGACAAACAAGCACATTCCACCTGATGGTAATTGGATTCTGTAGCCCATAGACATCTTCATCTATCCTCGGTTAAGAATCAAAATGCATATGCGGAATTTGAATGTCAGTAAAAAAAACCGGTTCTCTACACTAACCATACGAAACACAGCAGCATTCAGCTGCTTTTTATACTGTACTCTGTAAGAGCGTGATCCTTCCCCGGTCGAGTCGCCCCATTCGTGCTATAATCATAATATAGCTGCAGCGTAGCAGGTATCATAAGAGGCGAAAGAGGGAAGTAAACCAGGAGATGTGCAACAGCGTCTTTTTAATAAAAACTAAAAATTTTAAAAAACTGCCGTGCCGTGGCCCTATAACACATGGAGGAGGCTTATGTTCAGCAGAAGACTTTTGATAGGCTATAATAGTATCGGTAACGATATGCTATTGTAATTACATATTTAATAAAAGCTTAAAAAGCAATAAAGATTCGAGTAATAAATTATTTTTAATGATGTACTTTTTATTAGTATTTATTTCGATTCTCGGCTAAAAACTTCTTTCCTTGGCTTTGAATTGGTTGCTTTACTTTATAGACTGCTTATTTTACTTATTTAGCGCATGTCTCAATACTAAACGGGTTAAGATAATATCCGAAATCTTTGCTACGTTCAACAGAAACTTTAAAATCAATTATACTGGCGGTAAAATAAACTTACCTGAAACGGGACCGGCGGATATCCGCTCTGCAGACTTTCCGAGCGAGCTGTCGAAACTCCCGCCAGGGTGCTCGTTCGTTTTCGTGAAACATCGGAAAGGTTCGACGCCTTTGTATGTCCGGTTAAAGTGGATCTCTGGTAAGCCGTTCCCGCTCTCCTATTACCTCAGCCTTTACTAGCTTTGTAGGGGAGGTTGGAGTTCTTCAAATTTTTGACTGTGCACATGTGTGCGCGGAACACGTCTCCGTATTGTCCAAGCATTCGTGTGCACTCCGTACTAGTGAACTTTGGTAATGAACCGCGGGGTGATTTCCCGGGTGGGGGTTGGTGGTAGGGCTTCGGGCCCGACACCCCCGCTGCATTGGCCGGGCTGTGCATCGACCTGCAGCCACTTCCTAGACACTAGGCAATATCGCATTGATTGTATAAGCTCAATCATTCACCTCACCTCTCTGTCGCCTTGGTAATTAGTGTCGGTATTTTTTAGAATAGAAATATTTTCCTAAATTGTAGAAGGATTTTCTTCTACAGATTATTTAGGTTAAAGTTTAATACACGTACCAGATTATTTACCTAAAATAAAACTTGATATTTTTCCGAATATTTTTCAATACTTTGAGCAACGATATAAATTTTTTTTAATAAAAACACCATAATTGAAATTATAGTCAACTTGAGGATTATTTTATGAAAATTTTTGATGAAATGTAGTTACACTATATATGCGTAGTATTTTTTTTACATCACATTTTTGAAATTCTGAAAATATGAAAATAAAAATAAATATAATGTATACTTATAATGTAATATAATCTTAATATAATATATTCTCTTTTTATATTTTGATTTTAATACATTTATTAACACTGACATTTACAGTAATAGCTTTAGCCCCTGAGCTACCACGTGCTCTAGGAAAACATCGTGAGGAAACCTGCATATCTTAGAAATTAAAATAATATTTTGAAAGACATGTAAGCTCTACCAACACACCACATTGGGGGAGCGCGACGAACTTTTCTTAGCCCTTAAACCTGTGCCCGGAAGTGGGATGTACTAGACTGAAACTTTACTTTTATTAATATAGTACAAAATAAACAATATCTATTACCATAATAAAAACTGAAATTATGATACAGTCCTACTACCCGAGGTATAACAGTGCCATCGCGGAAACAGTTTCTTTAGGAACTACACCGCACGTGCGTCGATTCATACAAAATATAATGTAGTCATCCCTCAAAGACTCATAATTATTTTTATAGAATAATTGTGACAAACGAGCACACAGTTAACCTGTTTGTAAGTGGATGCTGTGGCCTACAATATCCTCGATTAAGAATCAAAAGGGCGTGTCACTCCGGGATTGAATGCCTCGTTTCCAGTAAAAAAGGGTCTCCAGATCTCTACACTCATCATACGAAACACAGCAGTATTAAGCTGCTATTTTACGCTGGTATTCTGTGAGAGCGTGGTCCTTCCCCGGTCGAGCCGACCCATTCGTGCTACAACCATAATATAGCTGCAGCGTGGCTCTACCACGTACAGAATGCACCATGTACTCAGTTCAGCCGCCTCTGAGGTCGCCCGGCTCTAAGCGAGATAATACCCCCCCTGAGGTGAGAGGTTACCATGTCTACCCACCAGGTCTTCGCACATAGCACCTCAAACTAGGACTTTATCTCTCTCCCAAGAGATCAAAGTAATATGTATTCCATTTTGCAAAATAAATTTGCCGATGTATTTATTAACTCGTTTTTATTACCTTCGCGTGTATCTATCTATGTAACATAATTTAATGTAAATCTTAATGTAACTTTCACCAACTAGTAGACTTCCGATCGAAATGAAAATTTTATCAAGGACCGATGAAAATACAATAATGTAATGACTATGCCTTAGTGTTCTCACTAATATCATCACAGATCATGAACAATGCGTTTTGTTTAAATCATTATATTATTTGTTTTACAATTAAAGGTTGATGTTATTGCGGTTAATTAATCTATTTTCATGTCTTTGTGGGAGTAGTGGTGCTGGGACTAGTGGTGACGGAGTTAGTGCATGCAATTGAGGGAGGGCGGGAGGTGCTCTTTAATCCAGGTAAGACACATCATTGTATTTAGTTAGCGGAAGGTTACGAAGTAATTAATGTTTTTATTATTTGCTGTTCTCCTAGTCAAACCATATACATACATCATGAACTAGTCTAGACATTGTCATTGAAGTTTTTTTTTATATAATAAGGGTGACAAACGATCCACCTGATGGTAAGTGCATACTGGGGCCGATGGCTACATTTATCCTCGATTAAGAATCAAAACACAGATGCGTTGTTACCTCTGAGGACTAAGATGGAATGCCTCGTTTCCAGTAAAAAAGGATCTCCGGATCTATACACTCACCATACGAAACACTATTATTAAGCTGCTATTTTACGCTGGTATTCTGTGAGAGCTTTGTCCTTCCCCGGTCGAGCAGACCCATTCCTGCTACAACCATAATATAGCTGCAGCGTAGCTCTACCACGTATAGAAAGTGGCTAAGTGTCGAGCTTTTTGATGACGTGATTACATCTGTTATAATATGTTGTATAGTTACTTTCACCCTGTCTTACACGTCTCTGCAGTTGGATAGGTTTCGAACTCCGGTTCTGTACTCGGATAGCCATCGTAGCCCTACTGTACAAACACTTCAGGACTTCGATATACTGACAGTCAACTTGGCACCGCTGAAGGGACTGCCCCAATTTCGACGGAATCAAAGGAGTTCTCATAGCCCACATATGCCAGGCAAAGTGGCAGATTGTACTCTTCGGTCTTCTTTACAATCTGCCGCAGGGTATGTATGTGGTCTATGGTATTGAAGCCTTTTCGGAAACCGGCTTGCTCGGGAGGCTGGAACTCGTCGAGTCTGCGTGCGAGACGATTCGTAATGATTCTCGAAAACAGCACGTAGACGCGGCTCAGAAGGGAAATCGGTCTGTAGTTCTTCAAGAGAGCGTTGTCGCCTTTCCTAAAGAACAAGACCACCGCGCTTCTGCTCCACGTCTCCAGAGTAGTGCCACCATGGAGGACGGAATTGAAGAGCTTCTGAAGGACTTCAAGTACCGGTGTTCCACCCGCTTTCAGAAGCTCCGCTGTAATTCCATCCTCGTCCGGGGCCTTGCCGTTTTTAAGGTGCTGGAGAGCCATTCTAATCTCGCTCAGACTGACGTCCGGGATATCATCGGAATAGTGTCGGATAAGACTTGCTCTTGGATCGTTACTCACACTTGCGTGTGGCTCCAACGATGATGTGTACAGCTGCCCATAGAAGCTCTCAATCTCACTCAGAATCTCAGGTGTCCCGGAAACGATGCTGCCACACTCAGTTTTCAGCTTTGACAGTTGGCTCTTACTGGCAGACAGATCTCTGGCAAAGACTTTGGAGCCCTGGTTCCGCTCGATCGCTTCTTTAATACAGTAGTATTAAAGTTGCGGAAGTCTCGCCGCTTGCATTTGGAGAGCTGTCAGTTCAGTTGCCTGTATGCTGTCAAATCTGTTGACGATTGCAGCCTCATCTCCCGTCTAACAGTCATGAGATTAAGAGTGTGATCGGAAAGTTTTTGTGTTTCTTCTGCGGCGGGTCTTGCAGATCTTAGCTCCGACCGCATGGACAGTTTCCACGAGCTTGTCATTCATATCGTCCACTGCATTGCAATCCTCTAGGCACTGAAAGCGGTTTCGTAACCCGAGCTGAAAAGTTTCGGGATTCTGGATTAGAGCACGAGGGGGACGGAGCGTTGACTTCATTAGACGAGACCTCTCCAACTTAACGTTTAGGTTCAGTGTGCCTCTAACCATTCGGTGATCGCTGCCAGTTTTCACCCTTGCGATCACTGAGACATCACTGAACAGTTGGCGTCTGGTCGTCATCAATCTCATTTTTTGTCGAACCGTCGGTGCTCGACCAGGTCCACTTCCTGTGGGGCCGCTTCTGGAAGAAAGAGTTCATCATAAAGAGTCCCTCTTTCTCCATAAAGTCTGCCAGCTGCTGGCCCCTTCGGTTCCGTTGCCCTACTCCAAACTACGTGAATACGTATAAGAAATTATTATTTTAATTTATTTTTATTAGAATTTTCACAAATAATTTTCGGCTTGGTAGTGCTCTATAAAGTGAAAAGTTTCTTCATTGGTCATTGTTATTGCTAATTTGTAGACACTAGTAACGAAGCGTGAATATACAATTTAAATCAGATGCGTGCAATCACTCTGAGAGATCGTAACTCTGCCACAATCCTTTGATCTTTTGTAAAAAATCGACACCAGTCGGATCTAGCGCCAACTTGTGGGCCATCATTCCAATACATACCAAGGTAAGCACAAACACCCGCTCTACATGATGGCCAGTGATAATTGGTATTGGCCACAATATTCGCCACTATGTTGGCCAACGTATAGAGCCGCCATAGGGTATAGATGCATTATGTGTGTGTCTCAACTTAGTGCATGTTCATGTAATAAGTTGAGCATGTTTTTTTTTTCAGGTTTCGGCGTCACATGAAATGTTAACACTGTCAATCTTTCTTTGTTCGTCTGAGGATACACTTCACGTGTGATTTTTAAAAAAAACCATTCAGAGTGAAGTTAATTATCCAGCATATTCGGTCCGCCTATGCTTCTACTTCAGTTCACTCCACGCGCTCTCGTAAGAAATACCCTCAAATTTTAAAATATTTTTTTTATAAAATCGAATTTCCATCCTTTGAGAAAATTAAATAGACAAAATATTGATTAATAAATTGCCTATCCATTAATGTCAATCGCAAAATAAAATTATGTTTACTTTATGAGGAGATTCATGTTATCAATAATTATTTCGCATTTCTGTGGTTTAGTTGCAGTCAGATTCATGAAATATTTACTCCTTTTAAAAAAAATTGGAATTGGTTATAATGGAACCAAAATTATGTGGAAATTTAACAGATTTTTTATTACTAGATATATCTTTTTAATAACAAGTATCCTTCTAAAAACCTTATGCGTACAGACTTATAGGGACTCACAGATATTTATTTTGTCAAGGAGAGGAATTATTGTCATAACATAACATTCAAAAGTACTTTACGCAGAAAAGAAAATCACGTGTGTTTGTTTGTTATTAAGGCAGCAGAACTTTAGTGAAAATTTAATTATGTATGGTTACGTTACGAACACATGATTTTGTAAAATTTCAAAGACAACATACAAAATACTTTATTAATCAATCAACATTGAATAAATTAAAACATTTTGATCACGTTTATTACTTTGTGTAACCTAAGATCTCTTTGCCTTTTTTACACGGGAAAGTATTGTAAAAAAAAAAAAAACGTTATACCATCAAACACTTAGCGT